CTCAACTCGACTGGTTGCTGAAAATCTATTACAAAATTATATAATTTAAGAAAAAACTTACAAAACCCCGTGGATTTGGGTTTTGAAATCAAAGCAAAAATTATACATCAGAGCAAATTTTTTGGGTTCACAAAACGCTGCCAAGAAGGCAAGCCATTGCTATCTGACCAATTACATAGATCTTATTGAAACGTCGATAAAACGCACGAAAAGTGACGTACAAATTATTTATCAGAAATAAATATCCTAATGGAAAATATACCTGTAGGGAAATTTTCATTAAATTGATGAATATTCAACGTGGAGTGTAACAAAACAAGACGTTTTAAGCCTTCTTGTTCTGTTGAAATTTAGGTCGGGCTTAAGTTATTGTGGTTGGGGCTTAGACTCAGTGTGATCTCTTTTTGTAGTCATATAATCTGTCGAACAAGTATATATGCCTAAGTTTTTAAGAAGTCGCAATTTCTGGATGAAGGATAAAAATATATTTTTTTTTACACATGAAATAGTTTTTTTCCCGAAGGGTTTGGGATTACGGATTTATATACCTATAGAGTATAGAGTATGCTGTACTTTCAAACTGTAGGAAGGATTTAATATTGAATCCACTTAATAGTGTTAAAAATACTATATAGCTTCATCCCTATTCAAAGCTTTTTTAACTTGCCCATTGATCGCTCTAAAAATTTTTCTTCTTTATTAAAGACATTAAACTTTCCATTAGTTTGAAAGAGATTATTTTATGTAATTAGTCTTCAATACTTAAAACCTTCATATTCATTACATCTAAGTCACCCTAGCTTCATAATTTTCATGTCCATCAATGGTTAATCTCGCACAAACAAGGCATGATCTGTTAGTTAATGATGTTCTAGAAGTGTGAAAACAATGGATGTTATATAGTAACGAAAGAAAGGTTATCAGACATTAGTGTTGTGTGGTATTTAGTGTAGCTGGGTACTGGGTAGGGAGACGGGTCGCTGTGGGGAGGAAAATGGAAGATAATGAACACCGGCCCAACGTATATAGGTGAGTGTATGGGAGGAAGGCTTGTAGTATACGCTTGTAGTGTAGTATGAAGATATCTAATATCCTAGCTAATTGCTTCTAAGTTTTAACACACGTATAACAATATGACGACCAGTCGACCATGTTTGTAACATGTATTGATCCAATCACGACACAGGAGCATGAAAATCTAAGCTGCGAAATACCTAAATCAATAAGTAATTGTTACTCCATAATAGATACAAAATATGTGCTAGATACACTTAGAATGTTTTCGTTTATTGTATGAATAATTGGACATTAAATTTTAAGCGTTGATACACAATGGGAATCCAACATTTGTTCATTGGAAATCCCACACTTAACATAAACCGTCTTAATTAAATGTACCGTAATAAACATGAGTATTATCAGATGTTCAGAATGCGATGGATCGAGCAGGTATTTGTAGAGATAATACCAAACATAATAAGAAAATTGTGTATGGAACTGTTAGTCTTTGTAGATACATAGATTAAGAAACAGTCATTTAACTATGAAGTGATTACACACCGTACAATTAGATATATTTCTTTATAAACTTAGTTACATTTTAATAATGTATATTTAAAAAAAAATGTAATTTATATAATTCTATATAAATTCTAATTGTAGATTTATTTTATAAATAAAATGAAATGTAGTTTCAGGCAATGAATGGCTTCATGCTTAAGTGCATGCCACAGATTAGGAATTGTTTCCTCTCAGTGGCTTAGACTTTTCAGATTAACTGTTTTTACATTATATGCAATATACATGTATGTATAGTTTTTTTCGAAAACGTTAAATATTCATGAACACGATTCTCTACCTCAATAACGTAATTCACTCACATTTTTTTAATGGTAGACGTATGTCAAAACAGATTACAGTTTCGCAAATTGAAATATAATCTGTGCTTCTATAGAATTATATTTCATTCTGCTTTTTCAATGCAATAGATTATAAATGTTTTTCATTTTATATTTATTCATATAATTGGACTCTCGAATCTGATAATATTATAATCAGTTTGAAATATTCCGAACATTAATTTCCTGTTATGAACGCTATAATATATATATTATATTTTGGTATATAAATATTTTCGTATATAATCCAGTAAGTCTCGTGTAAGGTCATGTTTATTCAAGTTCTGAGTCCCGGATGCCAATGTTGGCCGCAAGGCATTATTGATCTCATTTTCCAATCTCGGCCCCCATCTCTGTGCCTCATATTTTGGTAACATAATTTCGATACAAAATAAATATCTTAACTTAAAATGGAGCTTATTTAAATTAAAATATACCTACCTGAAATATCTTTAAGAGTGTTTGATTCAGTTAAGTGTACTCTAAAAAAAATTCTGTCTGCTTACCCACCACAATTTGCATCACAACAATACATTCGTAGCGTTAATTATTTGTAATTCAAAAAATTAAGCACATTATAGTATTAAGTTACTGCATCTGACTTAGAAATACTTCGTATGTTGTATGACAATGTGAATTTGTTGTAGACATCTAAATATCTAGACAAATTATGTGTCACTTGCGAACAAGAGGCTTTTGTCTAACATTTGGAATGTACAAATGTGACTGACAAGATATTAAATACAAAATAATAACGCTTTAGAATTTAAACGCCACTCACGAAACATTCTACAACTAAAAACACTAAATTATTTGGGATAAAATACACTTTTCATTAAAACTTGTATACTTATTGTTAATTATAAATAACGATATATGGAATTTTAAATTAGTCTTCCCAGTACTGGTGCTTGTAGACGTCAAACAACACACATATTTGTAAAGTTATTGAGGTTGCTTTAAAATCACATATACGAACGTCGTTAAAATATTTTTCATAATTGTATCTCTTGTATTTAATTTTATTTTCCTTCTAGTGTATTAAATAATTTATAAATCTAGTTTATATATCGTTGTTAATAAGTAATTTCGTATCTTTTATAGGTGTCGAATGGTCGCTATAAATCAGTACATAAATTTTGCTAGACGTATTAGTCAACATACATCGTTTGAACGCCTGAAATAGCTTGTAACGACGTCATTACACATTGAAATGTTCTAACATATACAAGAAGATATAGTTATCAAAACAATGCTTTTAATTTTTGGTACTCTTAGAGAAAAACATAATATATAGATATAGTTTCACTTAAAGCAAACATAATGTGGTAATTATTTGTGTACACAATAAAATAGTCAGACATTTATCACCGCAGATATATCGCCAGACATACATTAGCAGATTGGGGAATTTCGCATGTTACAAGGTCGTGAACAAAGATCGATAGCTTCCGCGTTGTGAATGAGACCTGCCTTACTCAAATCACACACTACACGACTCTCGAGAAAATATATACATATATATATAGTGTACCTGATGCTTTATTACACTATGTATAGTTTAAAATATGTACATACAAAATATAATCATATTGCAAATAGAATTATTCCATGTATTTGTGATTCATTCGTAGGTAGAACAGGAATGGTTCTATTCTTAAACCTGGATATTAGTTAAAGATGAACAAAATAAACTAATAAAGTTAAAATGAGTTGAAATATGATATGAATTATGTGTTCGACAAATTACATACTGTTTAACAATTATTTTCTGAAGAGTTGAAATTATTTGTTGTGTGACATATGGTAAAAACTTTTAATTTACCGAATATATTTTAGTAGTACTGCTAAATATTAATAGTTTCCAAAATGTTGAGTTTTTCTTTTGAACATAATAATAACTTTACAATTGTCTCATATTCCATATAAAACCATAAGCTCGAAATAACAAACGCTTCATTAATTTCAATAAGACTAATTAATTAATTAAGTGTAAACATTTATTTAATTAACTGTTAAAACTTAATCGGATTAACTGTAAGTTATCATAAATCCTAATTTAACTCTGATATTTTTATAGGCTTCGACGTAGCTTAAAATAAATACAATTGTTATGAATAAAGCTAAAATTTTGTCGTAACTTTAAGCAATTTACGTAATAGAATGAATGAGCGGCATCTTTATTTAAAATTTTACATTGAAATACCCCAATTGGTGTTAGAGCCCGGTCTGTACAGTACATAATGTTCGCAGTGATCCGTCAAACAGAGCGAAGTATTGATCGAAACCGGGCGACCTTGAACAAGCTTAGAAAAATACAATGAGAAAAACCAAGAGATCCTTGGAACGAGAAACTTTCTTATTGATTCGACTTAAAGTAGAGGCTGAAGTAATATTAATATTATACTTCTGTAAAACAAGTTCTATCAACCTTCCATATTCATATTCTGTTTGTGTTGTATAGTTTTAAATCAATCGGAGTTCAACGTTTCACCGCTCATTACATATTCATTTGACGCAGAGGTTTAAAATTAACTTCAACCTTTAAATAATATATCGCGGAAATAAAGCATTTTGCTATAAATAATCTATGAATAAGTTTTATTTAGACTTTTAAACGAGCGTAGTTACTTACTTTTTTACTTTATGACAGTATTATATTTCAAAGCTAAATTGTTTTCATTATTTTCTTTAATGAGAACTTTGTGTCACATAATAAAAAAATAAAAATCTGAATTTAAAATGATTTTGAAATTTTAATTCAATTAACTTTAACAAATTAAAAATGTTAAAGATTTTTTATCGTTGAAAAGAACAATCTCTTTTTAATTTTATTCTCACTGCAAATGGTTTTCTGTAACCGCATAGTGAGTTATTACAGCGCCATCAAAAGCAATATCCTCGCGGGGGTAGATATAAAACGTTTTAACTTGTTAGAATACGACTATCATGAAGATTTCAATCTTTCTAAGACATTTGCGTATACCTTATTGCAGCTTAATTAAATAATTTGGAAGATAAATGTGTATTCATAGTAATATAAAACTCAATGAAGGGAATTATCGCCATTATGTTATATTTAAATAAGGTTCAATATTGCAGGACTTCGCTACCAGTGGCTCAATTCAGCCGAGGTGATTTCTCGCTGTGGTCGGTTTTGAAGAACTGCGTCGGCAAGGAACTGTCCAAGATCACGATGCCGGTGGTTTTCAATGAACCGCTGTCATTCCTGCAGCGAATGCTGGAGTACTTGGAGTACGCTCATCTGTTGAGGCTGGCCTCGGAACAGACTGACCCTGTTGCGAGGATGGAGCATATTGCTGGTGAGGACTATACACGATAATATTAAGAGCAATCGAGTCTTGTCTGACATAATTTATTTAATAAATCGTAAGTTATATACGAAATAGAGCTTTAATTTCATAATAGTTTTATTATTGTTTAATTGTTTTGTATCGGAGTATGTGTAAACCTTTGAAGAGATTGAATCAGTCGCTGTCATGTAAGAATTATTCTGATTTAGAGATGGGAGTGTCTTTGTTTCAATCAATTAAAATAAGTTGAGCTACAGTTTAAGAAAATAATAATCAAAATATAGAAAGAAATAGCATTAGTATTAAGTAAACATAAATGTGTTTTGGTTATTTTCTCACCAAAAAAAAATCCAACCAGTCATTCCATTAAAGCAATATATTTTATGAAACAGTTTTATATAATAATAAACCACCGGAATTCATTTCATGTTATTAAGTCTGAACTCTTTATAATATTTCGTATTGTTTCACTCGACTTAAGTACTCTCATTAATATTTCATGCGGTAAACGGTACGCTATCCTAATTATGTTCCTTACGTTAAGTAGTTTCATGCACAATAGGCCCATTTAGTTTCACTCTCAACAAGTTGGCAAGCTCGCAATGAATTCTATTCCATGATGAAAACATTCCATTGTTACGGCCATTTCTCTTCGTTCGCAGTTGTATTTGCTTAGGTTGGAATAAAAAATAAGACACCAAATTTCTTTGAACAGCTGTAATTTAAACATATAGTTTCTATTAAAGCGATTGATAGGTTTTTGTCATAATCAATACAAAAAAATAGTCCTTGTATTTGTAGTAGGAATTAAGTAAATCCTTCGAAATATTTTTTCATCTATTCAGTCCAAAAATATGTTGTTCTCGTTTTCTCTTTCAGTACAAAGTAATTGAATGTATATTGGTACTTGAAATATACATAAGACGCTTAAAAATTACACTACAGTAGATTTAGGCTTGGAGGAAAGATTCAATATGACTAATGAATCGTAGATTTGTATGAAATATTTATTACAGTGTTTTTTTATACGGTATCGTATTACATGTTATTCCAACGTTATCCTGCTCTTACTCTAATGGTAGCATTACTAAAAGGAGAAACAATCATTATTTTCAGCTTTTGCTGTCAGTGCTCTGGCATCAAACTGGGAGCGTCTGGGCAAACCTTTCAACCCTCTCCTGGGAGAGACATATGAACTCGAGAGACCTGAATTCAGAGCAGTTTGTGAACAGGTACTACATAAAAATAGAGTTTAAAAATATATAGAAACTTTTAAATAGAAATAACTTATATATTCAGAATAAAATATTTTTTATTTTGCCTTTTAAAAGAATTTTTGCACAGTTTTTAAATCTGTATGTTCTTACAGATGTTAACCAGAAACACAAGATTATGTCGCCTTAAAAAACATTCCAACTAAAATAATTGATTAACTTTTATGACATCATCAATTTAGCTTAGCAGCCATTAGTTGATAAAATGAAGTAAAATCCTTAAGGGGTTTTCAGTGTTTCCCGTCCCTCATTATAAGTTCACGAAGAGATACTTGAGCCTTAAGTGCTCTGAACTTGAGCTAAGTTGAGAGAGTAACTTTGGACCTTCATAACGTACAAATTGCTGCAAGCACACTAGAAATAACTTTTCACTCAATTTTCCCATCAACTGAGTTTTGTGGAAACGGAAACGGTATTTTGACTCGTATGGAATTGTAATAAAAGCTGTTTGGACACAGGTTTTTAGTATATCACGTAGTGCTACTTCACAAAATTTTTACATTAAAAAACATAATCACGAAAATATTTATATGTAATAAATATAGCCAAAAATAATAAACAGACATTAGTGCGTGGCGGGACGGTAAATACATTTAAGTGCCTTAACAAGCCATCATTCATTGACATTGTTTGGTGAAACTGGGTCTAAAGTTCCTATGTCTATACCCTAATAACAAAATAAAGTCTAGAAATAGAATTCAGGTTTATGGAGATTTAAAAATCGATCTTAATGGTATCGACTTCTACATTCCGACTAATTGATATTATACAGGGTGACTGGTGAATTACTATCGATACTTGAGGACGTGATATTTGACGATCATATATGACACCAAAAAAAATTAATATAACATAAACATTAATAAACTTCTAAGTAAAGTTAACCAAAAGTTATGTAATTAATTACGCATCGTATGAACACCCTACAGATTAGGTATACACACACACACACACGCGCGTGCGGCGGCGTGTTATATCAGCACGCCGCCGCACGCGTCCACACTTGGAACACTTGGAACGTGTCCACGGTTTATTTATTTATACGGAAATTTGGTCAAAAATTAAGTACCTATTTTTTTTACATAATTCGAATGAGAATCATGTACCGAGTATTCTCCTTAAATATTGATAGTAATTCACCAGTCACCCTGTATAATAATAAATAAGATTATTTTTTCCAGGTTTCTCATCATCCTCCAGTGTCCGCCTTCCACGCTGACAGCCCTCACTTCGTGTTCCACGGCTCAGTTCATCCAAAACTGAAGTTTTGTGGAAAGAGTGTGGAGATACAACCCAAGGGACACGTTACTGTGGAACTTCCGAGGTAAATACGATATATATATTTTGGAAAAAATATGTTTTACGATAGCGTATTATTTGCAATCATTCTTCTGCTTTTTCCTTGTAAAGATACTAAAGGCAATACGTTTTACGACTATTCTCAGCAATTTTTATAACGTATTTCAATAATACCTAATTATTACTAAATAATTTCTTTAGTTTTTAACATTGAGGTGGAAGACTATTTAAAACCAAATATTATTGAGACATTCTTATGTTTTTGAATAAAAATATTTATTAAATAGAGTATAATTAACATAAATTATTAAATAGAAAATACGATAAGAACTATGACATTCGGATAGCGGTGTTTTATCCAAATGGATTTTTTTCATCCAAGTTAATTTAAAAATCAGTTCTCAAATGAAGATGTTTTTGTGTCTGTTTAATATAAAACAGAAAGAAGACAATATAACAGGGCAGTTTACAATCAGACTACATATTTATGAGATTCATGACCCATTTATTTATTTCCACATTCCAACTAATAAAGGTAATCAAAAAATATCGAATAAAAATATATGTTAATTTTTTTAATGAATAATTAATATAAAAAATGATTTTTTAATGAGAGAACTACTTATGCTAAAAAAGGCCTTTTATACCATAGGCATAAATCTAAAATGCACTATGAATTTTTTTATATTAATGTTATATATGAAAAATATATCAAACATCGAGGTATCTTCAAATAATGTGTTGTTGTTGTGTTTGGAACTTATTGTTTCTTATTTATTGCAAAAAAACCGATTTCAAATAATAATATGACCGGTTTTATTCAAGGGTTTAATCTGTTTTTGAGTGTATTTTTAAGTTTGTTCCACTGGTTCTATACTGGTTATAGATGGGGTGAAGCTTATACTTGGACTAACGTGAACTGCTGTGTTCACAATGTGATCGTTGGCAAGCTGTGGATAGAACAGTACGGGGCCATGGAGGTGACCTGTCACGGCGGCGCTGGTTTAAAGGCCAACCTGTCCTTCAAACCCGCAGGATTCAATAACAGAGATCTCCATAGAGTTGACGGATTTATTATCGACCAGAAGTAAGTTGCTGCAAACCGTAGTTATAATAGCTCAGATATATTACATATATATTCAATTAAAATCACATATCCATATTATTGGTATTAATTTAAAACATATTCTAACCAGACGAAAAAGTATGTCATGTATTAAATGATATGTACTTAAAAATATTGTTGGTATAGGGAGAGGTATCTAACTACATATTTTAAAATTCCTAACTAACTAACGATTGAAGGAGAATCGCAACTGAATCTTCCCATATTCCTGTTTACACATTGCTCTTAATGTGTATATCAATGAAGATTGTTTGTATGTGAAGCAAAAAGCGGCTTCGTTTCCTGTATGGCAAGTGGACGGAGTTTATAAAAGTATGCAGCGCGAGTGCTCACGAGACCTGGGCGAAGGAGAGAGGTGATGAGGGAACACAGCAGACACCCTCACATACTCCTAAGAAGGTGCTCGCCAAGTTGAATAGCTTCAAGGTCGGGGCGTTGCGATCTATGTCCATACAAGACGTAAGTAGACTCAGTAAGATAGTTATAGTAGTTTCTTAAAAACTTATCTTAATTTTAACTCAAAACCTTGATTTTTAACTCACAAATTTTGCAGCCACTTATAAATAGAAAGATATTTCTTTTTAAGACAAAACAAAATTATCTTGAATTTTTCTTAGAACGACGAAGCTGAAAACTCTGATGAAGTTCCAAAACCAGATGAGGCTTACAATATCGATATCCCTGGTTCTACTATCCTGTGGGAGGCGCGGCCACGACCAAGCAATAGTGCACAGGTAATTTTTCAACACATCGTATCAACTTACCAGCATTATTACACAAATATACCCTTAAAACATGGGTTGAAATCCTCGTAAGGGTCTACATATTGAAAAAATGTTTCACAACTACATTTTTGAAGGTTACCTTAACTGGCAACATCGTCAACTAATCATTTTCTGATTCACCAATACCTCTTTCCAGTATTACCAGTTCACGGAATTCGCAATGTCTCTGAACGAGTTGGAGCGTGACATGAAGAGCCAGCTGTGTCCTACAGACAGCCGCCTGCGTCCCGATATAAGATTATTGGAGGCTGGAGACATTGATGGCGCTGCAGCGGAGAAGACACGTCTAGAAGAAAAACAGCGTTCAGCGCGGAAAGTGCTTAAAAAGAGCTCTGACGGCTGGCAAGCGAGGTACGTCACTATTCAGATGGCTACAATTATAAAATCGTGGTAGCCTAGTGGTTAATGGGCGCGGGTACGTAAACTAGCAAGTACCAATGTGATATTTTCGAATCATATGTACTTTCTAAGATTGTTAAGACATCACTGACAGACGGTGTAGGGCAACATCGTGAGGAAACCTGGACTTATAATTTCAATTTGTAAGATTGAAATCGTGGTGATTAATGCTCAAATCTTCTCCATGTGACAAGAGGCCCTTGCTCAGCAGTGGGCTCTGATAGGCTGATGATTATTACAACGTAGACTAAGTTTAATTGGCTGTTTTCTTCTTTCCTTTTTAGATGGTTCAGTCAAGGTACAAATCCGTATACGAAGCAAGAGGACTGGCTTTACAACGGCGGCTACTGGGACCGTAACTATCAGCATCTGAAGGATGTGGATATATTTTAATCTTTCATAGCCATGTAATTGATTGTTGCTTAGAAAATTATTACGTGTACTTGGTTAGGGTTGTCGGGTCTCATGATTTTATATGAAGAATTTACAATATTAGGTAACTGATACATTTAATATCCGATTTTTATAGAAGTATTTTTAATCTACCTACAAAGTAGAATCCCTATGTTAAGCAATTTGTCAAGTCAGTTTTATATTTCTTGTATTTTACTACCACAGAGGCTTATGAACATGAAAGTTTATAAAACCAAGACTAAGACTACCATCGCGAAACTATACCGCCTAATATTGTAAATCTTCAGGTGGCAACCCTACAAAATTTAAATTATACAAGATATATGCTTTGGATAGACACAAAGCACTGCTCAATAAATAAATTAAATGCACAAGAGCATAAACAGTACGTAAGCTATATGATTTTAAATAAAGGTAAACTTATTTTATTTATAACATACTTTGTAATTCAGTACAAAGTTTTACTAATTTTACTCGTAGCTTTAACCAAAATCTCCATTTTAGTCGTTTCTTATTTAAAAATAAGTCTTCACAATTAATCTTCCGATGAACCATAGCCGATTTGCACCATTAATATATATGTAGTTGGAAATTTTGTAGACAAATATAGGGTATTGTCGCTAGCTTTAAGTAGATATATTATTAGTATGCCCCATGAAAAAGTATGTTTTATGTCCACAGTAAAATGTTTTCCAAATATAATTTTATAATTATAATTTAATTAAAAAAACAATGACCTCATATTGACTTCGCTTTATTATTATTTGAAATTAGCTTAATTTATTTAAATATAATTAATTATTGTCTGATTAAGAATAAATGAATGCATTTATTTCATTGTACATATATATTTATTATTTTGATTACGATCGAAGTGAAAATATATAAATAATCACGTGTTTTTTTTGTTTTGTAAATAAAAAAAATTGAAAATAATTATTCCATATTATATGGATGCAACAATATATAAATTATTTTGCATAATATTATAATAGTAATATGTGAAAAAAAATCATAAATTTTAGCCAAAATTTGTGTATATAAGTGTTGTAAAGTTCAATGTAGTTTGTGTTAGATGTTTTATTAATATAATACATTTGTAATATGTGAATTTCTATAAATGATAGCCATTTATTGATTGTATACCCGAAATAAATAGAATTCAAATAGAATTATAGTTTTATTTCATGTTAATTTATATGCAAAACATGGCATATTTTTATCTTTCTTTTATGACGTGTATTTTCTTTTTTCCTTTCAAAATTGGTATATATGTATTAGATAATAAAATGCTCAGAAAAATATTGCTTTAATATCCCACTTCTTTTTTAAATTTTTATAATAAATATTTGTAAACATTTATTGTACTGGCAACTTAGAAAACAACTTGAAAATATGTGATTTAAATACAAAAAAGTCCGTTCAAAGGTAAAATAATGTTTTTAAACCATTTATGTAATAAAGAAATAATAGATACAAACCTTTTTGTAAAGAATTACTGTTAAAATAATGAAACATAAATTCTTTCATAAGTTTATTTGATTTCACTTAGCGACCCCTTATATATAATATCACCCATATTAAAAATTTTACAAAAATCTAATTGTTAGTGAAACTGAGACAAAAAATAAATGTTTCAAGTTTAATTTGTATTGAATAGATCATAAAGTAAGGAATCTTATAATTCATGTTTATTTTCAACGACAATATACATATATTGTTGCTTTAACGATTTAAAATAGAACACTTTGTTGCCAGAGGAAAAAATATTTTGTACTTAGTATTTTTTTATTTAAATATTTTGAACATACGAAAATTTTATAGTATGGCCCTAAATTATACTTCCTTACTCTATAGTCTATTGATCGCTCTATATTCATACAATGGTCGTAATAAAAAATATTTCTCAGACATGTACATATATTAAATGCGTTTAAAATCAGACATACAAATTACATACAATTACATATATAACTTAAATTAATATTTATTTTCTAATCTTAGCTTATTTAATTTTTATTTACAGTCTCTATAAATAAAACAATTAAGCTCTTAGCAGTTAATTAGTTACATGACATGACAATTCCGGTCAAAAAAAACATGACACATCAGTTCTTGAAGAAATAAAATGATTTTAATTCGCTTTGTAAAAAGTTTTAGATTTTTAAAAATGATCTAAAAGAATAAATATGATTTTTTTTACATAACGTTAATATTAGTAATGGCCTAATTGTTTTGTGTTCAGAAAAAATGTCAAATCTATGTTAAAAATGGTCCAAATATTGTATTTGTTGGTGAAGTATATTTATTTTAGTCAGCCTCCAAGCCAGAGTCCAGGAAGTCTTTGAAGTGTAGCGGTACCTCGCGTGGGAACATCCTTAAGAACTGAAATGATTGAAAATAAATTATATACAAGCCGTGGTGACCTAGAGGTTAAAGGTCCGCCTCCTACATGAGTGTATTGGTTCGAAACCTGGCAAGTGCCAAAGTGATTTTTCCGAGTCATATGTACTTTATAAGAACATTTAGTCATCACTGACAGACGATGAAGGAAAAAATCGTGAGGAAACCTGGATTTATAATTTCACTTATAAGTTTCAAATCGCCAACGCCACTTGAGCAAGCGTGGTGATTAATGCTCAAATCTTCTCCATGTGAGAAGAGGCCTTACAGTAGTGGGCTCTGATAGGCTGATGATGATATATAAACAAATTTGATAGAAAGGAAAAATCTAGTAGAATGTTATATACCTGATTGGTGTAATACAAGGAGCTGGGTATAGTGATCTCGTGGTAGTCTCTTCTGACTGCGTCTATGATGTTTGCTACCGCCTCTTGGGGCGAAATAATCTTCATCAAAGTAGGGAATTTAATCTTGGGATTCTTGCATAAACCCGTGTCCACAATGTAAGGACAGATGCAAGTCAGTTTAATCTGGAAAGCAAGGTCGGAAATGTAGCTCTATAAAAGTAAAATTATTGCTTTAATCTCTTGCAAAGTAACGTTATGTACACACGGCCTTGAAAACGATTACAGCAATATTGACAGATGCCTTGCAAGAAGTTTTTGTAACGGTCTATGGATGTTGTAAATAAAATAGTATTTGGGCGTTAAAATTGCTCAGTCGAGGAACAAATAGAATTGGTTTCCTTGCGAAAGACTTTATAAAAGTACGTAATTATAGTTTCGCTGTGCGTAAAGTATGGTAGTATATAAGAATTTAGTCTTAAGTGATACAAAGATTCTCAGGAAGTATGAGGATAATTATTTACTATATAAAGACTTACTCCGCTGAAGTCTCTAGGATCTTCCCTTAATTCCTCATACACGGCTTCCATCATTCCTCTCACAGCGAATTTCGTACCGCAGTAAGGCACCAGATTTCTGAGTCCAAGCACTCCAGCCATAGAAGGACATCGCTACTATATGGCCGTGGTTCCTCTCCATCATTGATGGAAGGAAAGCTTGGAACAGCTACACCAAGAATATTACATACACTATTATGTTGTTTTAGTTATACTTATATAAACTAAGGATATACAAACACTATATGTACATGGAATACATATATATTACTTTGGTTATAACCTATCAAGCTACAAATAATGTATGGTCAGCGATATGCTTCAGTTCATAAGTGTTAAAACGTCTATACCAAAGATGTTTAGTATCCTCCTAATATTATAATTGCGAAAGTTTGTGAGTATGTGTGTATGTTACTTCTTCACGCTCAAACGGCTGAACCGATTTTGATAAAATTTTGTATACAGGAAGCTGACATCCAGGAATAACATATAGGCTACTTTACATCCCGGAAATCCCCGAAAATACTGGAAATCCGCGGGTAGCACCGCGGGGCGCAGCTAGTTAAGTATAAAGAATAACTTACCCAGATGTGAGCGAGACAGTTGACCTCAAAGGTAGCCCTAATTTCCTTCTCTGTCTGTTTGAGGAGCGGCTTGCAAGGCATGATGCCGGCGTTGTTTACAAGGATCGACACCTCGCCTACCTCTTTGCGGATTCTGTCTGCCATTTCATTGATGGCTGACCGGTTGGTTACATCACATCTAATGGAGAAAGGTTTGGAAAGCTTGTTCGGGATAGACACTATACACGGAGTATTGAAAGTTTCGAAATAGGAAACGGTATATGGACGATAGTGACGTCATAAAATGATTCAATTAAAGGCTGAGTTTGAAGTGTAATTGAGAGGAAGTCATTGTTTGAATAGAACAAGACTTACATATATATATAATACAAAACCAATTTTAAATATCTTAATTAATATCTATAATCTTGTTAACATATGAATATAAGTTTGACAAAATAATTATCGCAAAAACGTCTAGGATTTTCGTTTGTTTGTTAGTAGTCTTGATTTGCGATACGAATTATTATACAAGTGTAAAAATAAACATTTACATTATTTAGATATACTACAATGATAACTTTTAGCGTTTTATGCAATCCTAAACGGGTAATACTGTGGCTTATGTGAGTTATATGAGTAATATATTACAACTTACAGATATCTATGTGCCTGCCCCTTGTTTTCCCTGACCATGTTAACAGTCTCCTCATTGCCGGTGGGGTTTATGTCAACACACACCACTATACTGCCGAGCTTCGCGAAGCTGAGCGCCATCTCCCGGCCCATACCGTGACCAGCACCAGTTATCTGGCAATTTTAATATTTTGATGGTCTTGAAAGGTCTTACAAGCTGAATTTTCGTATTCAATATCGATTTAATCAAAAAGTAACATATTATTTAGACAAAATTGCAGTGTCTTATCAATATGGGACTTTTTAAATGTATAGAATTTATACATATAAATGTATCAACTTATAAATATCCAGAAAGTTTCTATAATTTTCCTCATCGTGCCCAAATATATATGGGAATTTCTGCTATACTTGTTGTAAAGAAAAAATATTTTATATTCACATATGTAGCATAGTAACAAAAAAACTTTCAGTAACAAATGTATCAGATTACTCACCAGTACAATCTCCCCCTTCAAACTTTTTGGTTCGTTAGGTACAAAGAACTTGTATATTCTGTAGAACCACGTGGCGTACATCTTGATGATGAGAATGATCACTTCCAGAGTCAGGACCACGCCTTCGTAGATCTTCATGCCGATACCTTGCTCATCAGTCCTATAGAGAAATAATTAAAATGTTAGCTATACAAAAAAACTATGGGAAAAATATAAACCTGATAAGTAATTTCAATTTCGTTTAAAACTAACAAATGAATACAGATTTTCTTGACTTTTTGATTCACTTAAAAAGGACTTTCTTTCATTACATTTTAACATATTTTTTTTTCGTTTGGTATTGGTATTGGTAGTCTTACACTGACTCAATATATTTTTTTTTTTTTTACTTTAAATGTTTAAATTATCTGACTCGGAATGTATGAAGCTTAGCTTAAAAATTTATTTAAAAAATAGAATAGAAGGTAGATTCTGATCGGCTAAAGTTTATAACAACCCTGAAAGAAATGATGTCAGAAAAGGAAATGACACATTTAAAGAGAGAAAGGAAAATGAACCATTCTGATTCCTAGGGACAGAGGAAATGAACAAAAAAATATATGATATTCAAAAACACGACAGTTATGTTTAAAAAAATACTACATAGACAGTTATTTTATATGTATACAAGATTCCTTTTAAAAATACATCACAAAAAAAAGTTATCAGAACAACTCAACAATTGCTTTATTTTAATTATGTAGAGTTTTTTGAATTTCTTTTTTTCGATGTCAAACATGTCTTTAAGAGCTAGATCTAGGGAATAGTTTTAGAAGCTTGATAATGTAAAAATCCCAGAAGTTATAAGGCAGAAAAAAAGTTCACCAAAATTAGGTTTTGTGACATAATTTATTTACTATTATTTGCTAAAAATAGGATATCATGATAAGTAATTCATTCACATATTTTAGAAGACAAAACACCTGTTTAAATGTTCATTTTTGTTCTAATTTCAGAAAGGCTTTAATGATGACTACATGTGTAATCACATTTTAGAAATATATATCTTCATTAAGACATGTATTGTTTTCTGTTTAATTTATAATTTAATAATCATCCTTCATAGTGCGTCCTACATTCTGATAGGTAAAAGTAATTACTGGACATAAATAAAGCAAGTATAGTATAAAACAATAGAAGATGCACGTAATATGTCATTATTTAATTAATTTAATTATTTTGAATACTATTTTTGATTTTTAGGTAATAAATTAATAATAAAAAATTTCAAAATGAAGTTTATAGAAATTGAAGTTGAAATGTTATTTATGTTTTGCATTATTAGAATTTAGAAAACGTATTTTTTTTTTTCTCAATTTTGAAATTTATTTTTAATTACCAGCATATTATAATTATACTTAATCCAAGAAATACTGTTTTATTGAGTCTTGAATGAAAACATATTGAGATCTTTGAAAATGTCCTGTAATTCAAATGTTTTTAGAAGGCGATGATTTTCAACTCGTAAAAGTTAATATACAAAATAATATCATCAAAATAGAAAATTACGTATTATTGTAATAAGAAACATCCTATATTCCTTCCTTCGTCTATGGAGCAGTATCTAGAACTTTCCATAGCAGACTGGATGCCGTCAATCAGAATTATTAAGTGACAATTCGCTCGCATCGTCACTACGACCTAGTTGAATATTAACAACTAGACAAAACAAGAGGAATTAAACTTGATTTGTCGATGACGTAGCGGTTACCAAAAAAAAAACTTCATAAAACGTGATACGAGATTAAATTAGCGAGCGACCTTCAACATAATTTTTTTAATTTTAATAGCTGTAGACAACAATAGATATATGCATTATTAATCATGATTTACATATATATAGTAGCTGAGCCGGCAAACGTTGTTTTGCCATAAAAAAAAATTTCGTCCAAAAATAAATAATTAAGGTTGAACAACCATTATGACTTAGGGCTATGAAAAATAGATTTTGTCCGATTCTCAAACCTATTTAATATGTTCACAAAATTTCATCAAAATCGATCCAGTCGTCTCGAAGGAGTTCTTTGTCTAACACCGCGACACGAGAATTTTATATATATATATGTATATTTGTAAATGTCATCGAATTAATACCGTTATTTTTATAAATTTAAAGTTCTTTTCCGCAATCCTGTTGTTGCGAGGGTTTATTCCGCAATTCATGAGAATCATGATGCAGGAAGCGCCTTGACGTACTTACAAAACTCAGGTTACCCGACTTATCATCGTGTAATTTATTCGGTTTAATATATTAAAATATTAATCTCTATTAATTATTATATATAAATAAATAAAATTTATTTTTAAATGTCATATTTTATCCAGATCTATAAGACTTCTTGGTTGATAAGATTTTTACTGCAATGCAAATAAAAAAGACTTTATTTACGAATCAAATTTATTAAATGTCTGTTTGTGTATATTACCATTTATTATTCGTTGACATTATATAATATATATGTTTGTGCGTATTTATTGGGTATAGACAAACTTGTTACATTTTCTTCCGTATATTTTGAAATGTAATGATTAATGTTTTTCTCATATATTTAAGACATACATATATATAATGGCGCTATAAAAAATAACCCTGATTTGCTTGAAATCTGTGTACTTGTAAGATAATGGAATGAGAAATTGAAAACGCTTTGTACGTCACAAGCTCGTTGAAAGACTACAGATTTATAAAAAGTCTTCTTCTACCTGGCAATTTCCCAGCTTTAGCCAGGGTCTACCTTACATGTTGTGAATAGTTTTGGCTAATTGTTTTTACGACCGGCCGCCTGCCTGACATAAACCCTCTTTGGGAATAAAAATAATACAGATTATAAACAGTATTAAAAAAATATGGTGAATTAATATATGTATACTAGAAGACCTGGCGAACTTCGTATCGCCCTATAATCAAGAAATATCTGTTACGTTTTTTTACTTATATTTTGGAGTTCACCTGTAAGCCATAAATCTCCGTGTTTTGAAGTGCGACAGAATGATTGACATATTAGTTAATTGTTAAATCTAATGTCAAAAAAAACGTTTGTATGGGAAATAGAAAAGGGCTGTTTTTATGGTTTTCCCAGTAATGAATCAATTTTGCTCAGCTTTTATACCTTTCCTGAAGCTCCACGAACATTTCAAGACTAAGATAAGATAAATCCGTTCAGCTGTTCTCGAGTTTTAACGAGACTAAGGAACAGCAATCCATTTTTATATATATAGAAGATATATGTGTGTGTGTGTGTGTTTGCGTGTGTATGTGTGTATATGTGTGTGTGATTTTCAACTACTTAATAGTTTTTACGCAGTTCATTGTCTAGGTATAATTGTGTTCGACTCATTTAATTACATAACCGGTGAATCAACTCTCAGCCAGTCATTCCGGTTCACTAGCATTCCTGATTCGCTTGTTTTACAAACAACACTTATCTCATAATTTGATACACTATCAACAATACAGCTACTATTAAAAAACACTTAAAATCAAATTCGACATTAAAAATCTATCAATAGTTGGCTGAAACAGAATGCTATATTTATAATTATACCTATTAGTTTTTCCCCGCAACTTCTTCTGCGTTAATTTCGTTATCTTCTATATATATAAAAATGGATTGCTGTTCCTTAGTCTCGCTAAAACTCGAGAACGGCTGAACCGATTTGGCTAATTTTAGTCTTGAAATACTCCTGGAAGTCCAGGGAAGGTTTAAAAGGTGAGATTGGAATAATTGCCAGGAAAACCCTAAAAACAGCCCTTTTCTATTTCCCATAGAAACGTTTTTTTTGACATTAGATTTGACAACTAACTAATATGTCAATTCTGTTTGATTGAAACAGAAAAAACCTGATTATTTATGGCCTGTAAGACGGAATAGAGTTCGACTGGTCAGCTATACCTACATATATTACTCTTGACCAAACTAACGCGGACGAAGTCGCGGGCAAAAACTAGTTAGTAATATATGTATAGCTGACCGGGCGAACTCTATTTCATCCTAGAGGCCATAAATAAACAGATATTGGAATTTAATAAGTTTTTTTCTGTTTCGATCGAACAGAATTACATAAATATCCTATGTCCATCTCCTGGTTCTAAGCTATCTCCCCACCAATTTTCAACCATATCCCTACAGCCGTTCTTCAGTTATAAATAGTGTAACTAACACGACTTTCTTTTATATATACAAATATATATATTTGTATGTATATGTTTAAACATATACATATATATGTATTTTATATTATATATTTTTCTTCAACATAATTATAAGGAAACGGGTAATTTCCATAATGGAATATAATAATTAAAAAAATATATATTTTCCAGGAAACCGCAGATTATCTTGGATGGTATTTATGATGACCTTGAACATGATACGATTGATATTAATACCAAGTTATAAACACTCATCTCGCCTAAGAACCACTTATAGAAGAAGAAACTTATAGTTGAATATAAGTGATATCTGGATACACTCGTATATTTTCAGAGAAAAATTTCAATACAAAGGTCTATTTTCGCTTCCAATTAAAAAATATTTTATTAATTTAATACTATTTATAAATTATCTTAAGGAAATTGAAATGGTAAAATACAATTAGTCAAAACAATGCAGTATTCAGGACACTCAAATATGGTTAAATATATATACGAATATCTTTTTCGAAGATATTTCTAAAGAAAATCTAGAAGATTTTCAAATACATAACCTTTGTTATAATAAAGTCTATGTGGACCATAAAAACTATTTTTATAGAAAATTTTGCTAACGCAAGATACGCAATGTTAGATGTATCTTCAATAATAATTGTTCTATAGATATGTAAACAAAAAAAATGCATATTATAAATTTCCAATTAAAAGTGAATTTGTTGTTTATATAAACATATTTATTTCAATTCCTCATAAATTATAATATAAAAAAATAATGCGTTGAAAAATAATTATCAATTGTCCGTGAAACATTGAAGCCTGCAAAAACATAATGATATCCATAAAAAATATACAAAACAGAATTCCTTGTTGTGTTTTATTTCTTACATATAAATAAACAAAACCGGTTCCCTATCCTAAATTTTAATGACTACATTGTTAATTAGGTAAAGTTGTTTATGTGTATTTTA